TATGTATGTATGTATTTAATGATACTAGTAGAAAAACTTTATTAGGGCATAAAGAGTCAGTTTAACTTTGAGAGTAATTAAAGAGGTGATACAGTCAAAGTAGTTGCAGTTGATTCTGTTTGATAATTCAGTTTGAGCAAGATTAAGTAATCTGTAAGTATAAACTGCTTTTTCTTGCTTATAATGAGATTAGGTATTATTAAATTAATATTTTATCTTACAACAAAACAATCTTGGACTCTGCTTTTATAGCAGAGATAATTTTAAGAATTCTTTGCAAATTGGTAAGGTTTCATCACTGTTTATTGCTTCCTTTGTGTGATTATGCAGTTAGGTCAAAGAAAAGAAGAGTGCAAAACAAAAAAGAATCTGAATTGTTTTACAATAACATGGTGCCTGAGTCAGAACTATATTTTACTAAAGCCTAAAAAATATTTTAAAATTCCTTCACTTCTGGAGCTATTCAAAGGATTGAAGTAATCTAAATTCTTAATTGGACCCTATGCTTCATTTTTTTTCAGTAGAAAATGGCTGAATTATTTCCATGTAGCTCATAGGAGAGCAACTGTTGAATCTAATTTCTCAGTGTCAGAGATGGATTCAGCTCACTGTAGGATGGCTCCCATGCTGAGCTGTAAGCCTGTGATCTGGTATGCAGGGTTCAACTCTTGGTGTTTGGGAGAAACTTCCTTCCAGGAAAGTGATTTTTGGTACAAGTCTTTCCTTACATTAAGTAAGGTCCGAAGGCAAAGCTTCCCCCACCTGGACCCCTTAGCTTTTCAGCTTTCTGTTCCCATGCTGTGGGCACAGAAAGCAGAGCAAACTCTGGCCAGAGTGGGAAGTGAGCATGTGGCAGTGAGGCTGATGCTGCCTCTGGCAGTGATGGGGAATCTGCAGCCAAGTCAGGGAACTTGCCTGTGCTAAACCCTGTAAGCTAATTCAGGAGAATTTCCCATTTGTTTCCATCTTCCTTAGCCTGTACTGTATGGATCACGGAGATGTTGCCTCTGTATTCTTCTCAGTGAAATACAGTTAAATAGAGTGAACCACTTAGGAAATGCAAAATGCTTGTGTTCATTCTGCATTCCCTTTACTAGGGGTGTGTTGAGCTCTTTAACCTTTGTTGTAGAGCCTAGGGAAGATGAAAACCTAAACAAAATGGCTGTTGAAGTTGCTAGCTTGAGCCTTTAGTATCTTTTTAGGCTCCTCAGAGTTGTCTTCTGTCTTGCCAATGCAAAAAACAATAATGTTTTATAAATGCCCCGTTTGTTTTCCCTGGAGCTGTGTTTCCATATGCAAGCATCCTGCCAGATTTTTAAAAGATTCTTTTTCTTCTAGGTGCAGACAATTCAAGTAGAGAAATCTCTTGTTATATGCCAGAATATTAAAATTCAGGATGCTAAAAGCCAAAGAAAACAAGGCACCTCATTCCCCCTATGACTTGTGTGTTACTTCAGTTCCTTACCTGGCTTTATATATTTGCACAAATTCAGGCCTACAGATACAGAGGGAAAGTGCCTTAGCACTTCAGTGCTGCTATCACACAGAATAATACCTAATGTTGTGCTCTTTTGTCAGGATGATGTTGTATCATCTTCTGCCTTAGTGTAGGCCTTAGTGGTCTCGAGGTGATTGTTAAGAGAATTTGAGCTTTTGTACAGGAGGGTGATATTTGAGCAAATAAACTGTTGCAAATAAATTGGCAAGACACATTTACTTGAATGTTTTCCTCTTTTAAGCTGTGCAAACCTAATATAAAACACATTTTTGAGGGTGCTAAGAAAATATCCTTAAATTGAACTTGAAATAGGTATGCATGACATTTAAGAATCAGTTTGATAAAGATGTATTTAAACTTGCTTACAACAACCATTTTGTTAGATATGCGTAGTTTGCTTTTGTTATAGTGCCATTTTGTTTCTTGCTGCTAATGCCTGAGATAATATCAAAATTTGACTATTTGCTGTTACAGAGTTCCTTCAAAAATTATTTCTTTTTTTAAAAAACCCATATCTGAGCTTGGTCTTTGAGTGCAAGAACATTTTTTTTTTTTTTAATGCAGTTTGTATTGGACTACTTCTGAAACGACAGAAAACAGAAAGAGGTTTTTTAGCTTCAGGTAATTCTTATTTCAGATGTGGGCGGGCTGTCCACCACGTATGAGTCCACAGGTGTTTTTCATCTTAGAAAGTTTCTCCTGCACTGTTGTCTTCCTATGATTCTTTTTCCAAAGTGCAATTTTTTTGGTTAGATTTCCTGTCAGGGAAGTCTTAAACACTTAGGCTGGCCTGCTGCAGCATGAGATTTTTAGTGGGGGTGAGAGGGTTCAACCCAGCTCTCTGTTAGAAATCTGTAGGTGAAGTTTAGTTGATGATGTGTGAGCTAATAGAGGAAAATTGCAGAATTGTTGAGTCCTCAGCAGAAGATGCTTCAATGTGAATGTTCAGTATTTTAGGGCTGCACTTTGGGCTTTTGGTTAGGCATTTACTTTTCACGTAATTGTGTTCCCTTATTGCTGGAGCACTTAAATCCTCATAGGCATTGATTTTATTTTTCAAAGCACTGATCTTAAATTTTATAAAGATGCTTTCAGCGATTTACACATACAACCCCTGTTCCCATGCCCCCTGTTTCTCCTTCCCCACATCCTCCACCCCACATATTCAACTCTTGTTTAGGGGAAATCAGATTTCTGCTGTAAGGATCTTTGGCTTAGGTACTTCTGTGAAAAGTTGTAGTATTCCAGCTTGTTGAGGTTGTTTGGGTAGTTTTCTGAGAAGTGCTTTCACTTTAGGGCACTTCCAAGCCTTTGTCTTTGTCTGAGCATAGTTTTGCTGTCTTTCAGTTAACGTTTACTAAAACCCTTATTTTCTCTGTGTTCTTCCTGATAAATAAATGTACTTCTCATGTCTGTTTATTTCTAAGCAGCATGTTAAGTTCATTTTATTTAGAGTTTATATTTTCATTTTATTTAGAGTTTATCTTCGGTCCTTTTCACTAAGTAACTTTTCTCCCAGTTTAAAGGAAATTCATATTCCCTTCTTGGAAATACAACAGTTCAAAATAAAGTATACCTCTTGTCACTCATTGTAGATGTTGTGAGATATTATTTTGCAACAGATTTACTTCAGTGTGATGTATTTTAATAACTTAGTTACAATGCTAAGATGATAAAGTCCTGTGGTAAATACGCCAATCAGAACTTTGAGACAGTTATATAATTATACATCAATATGAGTTCTATATGGTTGTAACTTTTTCTTCTTTTATTAGATTCCCTCTGAAATGCTCCAGAAGGAAAGCTTGATGCCTTCTCCCCCATCCCCCAACATGATTTTTACTTTGTTACTTAGAAAGATTAATTTTGGTTTTCAGGTTAGAAGTTAGCTGGATGATTAAAGATTCAATTATTGCAGTTTTCTGTGCTTTAGGTTGTATTTAGTTGTGTAATCATTCAGTAACAACTAAAAATAACATAGTGCATGATTTCCACTAACCCACCATTTTTTTTAGCCTCAAATGGGTGCAGTTGCATGTGGACAAAGGTGTCATAGCTCATAAATAGTGCTTATTCAGGGTTTTACTTGGCCAGGGGCAGCAGCAGTTTGAGCTGCTGAGCCTTACTTGCAGTGCTGCCTGCACTTCACCTGTGGTGAGTGGTCCTTGCAGAAGCAGAGAATCACCAAGGTTGGAAGAAAACAAGAAGATTATAAAGTCCAACTGTTGTCCAGTACTATCACTGTAACCCCTGTATCACATCGCCCAGGACCAGATTCAGATACCTCTTAAAGACCTCCAGCCCTGGTGAATCTGTCACCTTCCTGGGCAACCTATTCCAATGCCTGACTGCTTTAACACGGGAAAAAAAAATTATAATATCTAATCTGCATCTCCCTTGTCTCAGTTTAAGGCCATTTCCTCTGGTCCTCACTGCAGGCACAGCAGAATAGGCTGGCTGCCACCTCACTACACCCTCCTTTCAGATGGTTGTAGAGAGCAATGAGGTCCCTCCTGAGCCTTCTCTACCCAAGACTGAACAAACACAGCTCCATCAGCTGTTCCCTTAAGACATATTTTCCAGACCTTTCATAAGCCTTGTTGCAGTGGGGTCCAAATGGACTTTGTGAGAGTTGATTTCTTTTGCTAGTATTGCTGTAGAAGTCATGGTGTCATTAAATCACTGCCCCCTCAGCAATGTTGGTTCATCTGCTTTCTGTAAAGGCTTCTGTCCAGGCTAGATTTTGTCAGTTTTTCTTGTTTTATTCTCATTTTAAATCAAAGGTTTTATCATCGTATTTATCATCTTGTATTTCTCTTGTATTGTGTGACAGACCTTGAACATGCAGTGACTATAACTATTCTGAATTGGCAGATACAATTTTAGCTGTTTTTTCTTCCTTTTTTTTTTTTTTTTTTTTTTTTTTTTTTTTTTTTTTTTTTTTTTTTTTTTTTTGGTGTAGGTTTATTCTCTTTAGATACAACAGTTGTAGCTCATGTCTGTTGTCATTTGCTTTAAGAAAATGGAATGTTTATGAAATGAAGAAATCAGGTTACATGAAATTAGAGTTTTATTTCACTAAGGACAGGAACAGATAACCCAAAAGCGCCTTAATCACAACCGTGGTTCTGGTTCCAGTTGTAATATGTTTATGTAAATTCCTCATCAGTGTTTTTTGTAAGGCCTTTGTAATTTAGGAAGAAAGCCATACTGTGTAAATGTTGACTTTTCAATTAATGAGTGCTGGTGAAAGTCTGTCAGGTTTGGCTATGCGTTTATGAAGTTGTATTTCGTTCTTTATGTAAAAAAGGATATAGAATTTTAAGGTTTTTTGTTTGGTTGTTTTTTTGTTTCTTTTTTATCATTTGGGTGTAATGAATGTCTGAAATAGTCCATAGACTTAATAAGGTTTAATTTATATAAGGAATTCAGATGATTGACTATCCACAAAGAGTGGATAGTTGTTAAGCACTCAAAATGCTGTCATATGATATTTGAGGTTTTTTTTTTTTTTTTTGTGGTTTGCCAGAACTGATATTGCAATATATTGACAAAAACGTTATTTATTACGTACTTAATTGTCATCTAATAAGATGTATCACGTATTCAGGGTTCTTTAATAAAACTGCTAACCACACCTGAATTATTTTGTACTTTACCTGTGCCTAATGCAAGCCCTTGATTTGTTTCCTGAAAGGAAGCTGATACTGACGTGGTGTGTGTAATTGTGATGGTTCAATGGAGTAGCAGGCACGCAGCCTGTTAAATGTTTTGCCGAAGTTTTCATACTGTGCAGACTTACCTGTAATGACTGGAGGTTTTTGTCTTTAATGGGTAAGAAAGAAGAAATCTCAATAAAAGGCTGTTTTACCGGGTGCGTGCCTTGGTGTGTGGGTGCGTGTACTCGTGTGTGTCGGAGGCGGCGGTGTGTGCCGGGGGATGGCTGTGTACCGCGAGCGCTGAGGAGCGGCGCTTTCAGCGCTCTTGCCCGAGGCGAGTGAATTGTCCGGGTGTCCCTCCCGCTGTGGCCGCGTGTCTCCCGGTGGCCATTTATGTCCGTCCCCCCCTCCCCACCCGTGGCCGTGTCTCCCCCATTCCCGTGTCTCCCCCATTCCCGTGTCTCCCCCATTCCC